GGTCACTGCAACCTTTTTGCATCTTAGAACCGCATGTAATGCAGCATCCACCCAGTAGTACAGGCATAATGGAAAGAAGCGTATAGGCCATATCATATAACTTCAGAAGGAAAACTTTTAAAACAGATGTGAAAAGTAATACTCCTACATAGCCGTTAATCATGCATGCATGCACTTGCTGAAGCGCCCACACACGCTAGCATTCGCCTCCTTCAAATAGGCCCATGTGTGGACTAACAGGTTGCTAAAAATTTCTTCACGCTACTGACTGATATCTATAGAAGTTTGTTTCTCCTACGGCATTAAAACAAATGTTTAAAAAAGGTTATTGTGACTTATCTCACAATTCTGAGTTTATATCTGCATTTTCTCAGAATTGCAAGATGTAAATTCGCAATTGCACTTCTGAGTTTACATCAGTTGTGTTTTTGTTTCTGCCTTATGATAAAAAATGGTAATTGTGACTTTTCACAATTCTGACTTTATATCTCACACTTCTGGAAAAAAAAATCTCAGTTGTGAGAAAAAAGTTCCTTTGGTGAAAACAAGTTTCCATAGCTATCCAGTGAGGTGCTAGTTTGCATGTGTCGCCTAAATGAATAGGAAAAGATGAAGCAACAACACACACAATGCTGCTATTGATTCTTGTTGTGAACCAGCATGTTTGTGTGTATCTGTTTTGAAGTCCCATAGGAAATCTCCATTTATCTGCACTCTGATAAATTAATGTTCACTGCATATGACAGCCAGGTGCTGTTTCAGTTTGCATGATTGCTTACAGAAATATTTGCATACATTATTACTGCCTACATAGGCAGGATCCTAACTGTCATGCATCCTCAAAAGTGACTGATTTGACATGTATGTAGTTAGTGTTTCTGTGTGGGGAAACTCAATTTTGGAAGAGTTCGATGTTGGCATGTTAAGTTAGCAACACATGGGATGCGTTTAAAGCAGGGGTGGGCAAACTTGGCCCTTCCAGGCCACTTTCCTTCAGAGTTTAGCTCCAACTCTAATCAAACACACCTGAACCAGCTAATCATTGTCTTCAAGACTACTAGAAGGCTACATGCAGGTGAGTTTTATCAGGGTTGGATCAAATCTCTGCAGGAAAGTGGCCTGGAAGGGCCAAGTTTGCCCATCAGTGGTTTAAAGGGATAGTTCACCCAAAAATGAAATTTGTCATCATTTACTCACCCTCATGTCGTTCTAAACCTGTATAAGTTACTTTCTTTCTTTGAATGCAAAAGAATATATTTTGAAATACCAAAGAGTTTTGGTCCCCATTGGCATCCATTATAGTAGGGAAAGAAATACTATGGAAGTCAATGTTTGATTACCAGCGTTCTTCAAAATATCTTCTTAAATGTTCAACATAAGAAAGAAGGTTTGGAGTGACATGAGGGTGAGTAAATGATGGCAAATTTTTCATTTTTGGGTGAACTATCCCTTTAAGTCATGTCGAAAAGATTGTATTTACAACCTGAGCACACATGAACGGCACAGCAAAATTGGAATTACAATCCTTAAGAGTTTTCTTTAAACCCTGAGTTCCCAAGATGGAGGCGTGCCAGTGAGAAAACACGGAGGATGCGATGGATGCAGCATCTATAGCTGAAAATTGTATATTTTTCCTTTACAATAAAACTAGCTTTGTTGCATGTACAAAATATGATAGTATTGTACAATTACAAAAGAATGTATAATGATTCAGTTTATAGTGACTCCGTTATTATTAACATACAGCAAAAACTCACTTGATGCACATTCTTTGTGCATTGCTTTGTAGAAGTAGAGATACTGTTACTGTATTTTTTCCAATAAACCAAAATAAGTGATTTTAGATTTTTTGAAGTGATTTTAATGCATATGACATCATAAGGATGACATTACAGCTCATAAATTTATGAACTTCCCAGGAGGACTTGAATTCTTAGACAGTTTCCAGGCAGTGCACACATATTCATGAACATTTTTCATTACACCGTTTTATTTATATATATTTAAATATTTTATAAATACTTTTCAGTTCTGAATTAAATGTTTACGCAGCCAAGTCAAAGTTATTTAAATTGTCTGTGCTGTTTTACTTTTATGCACAAATGTTTTTGTGTGATGCCATGCATAAGTGACAGTTTTTATATATATATTATCACATATTTATATGGAAAACTGCACAAGTCAAGCTGTGTCTTTTAGCTTTGTTAATGCAGATTCATTGTTCCATAGAGACAAAGGTACTTATCTCTATCAGAGGCAGCCTTTGTGAGCTCCTCCGGATGCTGGGGGTGGGTGAACATAAAGCACACAGGATCAGGAGGGGGACCTTGCCCACCTTAGTCTATTCAGTGAGCGGCTTGAGCAGTCAGACACAACAATATGGAGTCTGAGCACAGGCTTTAGTACATTGAAATGTGATATTTGATGTAATACGACCATTAAAACTAATCAAATATTTGGCCATGTATTGGTGGAAGAAAATAGATTCATTAAAAGAACATTGTGCTAAATGGAAAACCATTTTATTTTTCTGTATCTGTAGGCATTGAGTGAGCCTCTGTTTGTTGAGCTGAGCTTAATGACTACACATTTTTCATCTGTGCAGTTGGGTTATGGGTTTACCTCATTTTAAAAATGGATTACCTTTGAAGAGGCCTCCAGAGCAAGTGGCTTTTTGCAGAAATATGAAAAGTGGACAGTGGTGTCTTGCTTCTGGCAAGTGTCTTATAATACAATTGTTGACCTTTTTATAGAAAACCATGGAAGACTGAGAGATTACATTGCTATGTATTAATAAGACATGGCCCTTTGCAACAACGTTTTTGCCCACGGTACATCAAGGGGATGTACTTTTCAATGTTTTGTGCAGATTATGTAACTTGAACCCAAAACCCTCAATGTGACTTTCACGCTCTCAGGTTGTTCCAAACCTTTTTGACTTTCTTTTTTAGAACATACACACACACAGATATTTTGAGTAATGTTGCGGTCCAGACTACACTTTCATTGTATAGACAAACACTGAGATTTTATTCAAAATACTTTTTTTTTGTGCTCCAAAGAAGTTTGAAAATAATATAGTTTTGGGGTGACATGAGCATGAGTAAACAATGACAGATTTTTTTTAACTGTGTAGTCTTCCTCATATATTTCCTGAACGCTATAGTTTATTGTGGACTGTTGATGATCAACAAAACATCTAGTGTTCCCCAATTTAACCTCAGTAAAGCTCTGTACTTCACCTTAAAACATTCTGTTCTTAAAAACATTACCCCTGCTCTAATGAGATGTACAGTACTGATCTGGAGCAAAAGTGAAATGGTAAAAAAATAGTTGAGTGAGTGTGTGTGTGTGTGTGTGTGTGTGTGTGTGTGTGTGTGTGTGCGTACTGTATGAAAGGTCAAACTGGCAGAGACTCACTGGCTCCATCCAATTGGACAAAGTTGGGCTTTCAATCAGGAAATTATGTTTCCTTCGGATGGGACAATTTTGATTGTTTCTAAATTTAGTGAATTCCTTTGGATCAGAGAGGCAGTCATATCCCAGAATATACTCTCTCCCAGGAGGAACATTGAGAATGGATTATTATTGGCTACCTCTGATTTGCATCAGAGATAAGCCGTTCTGTTGACAAGAAGCCGAAGTGTGGCAAGTCAACTCAAAAGCATGACATGCTAATGTTTGTGGGCTGAATGTGATGTAACATTTTGTTATGATTGTCAGAGAGAGTTTCTTTACATTGTTAGGGTATTTAACACACGGTCTAAATTAAAAATGAAAGGTCCCCTGAAATGCTTAGAAACATGGTCTGCGCCGACTCGCGCATGTGATCCGCTCCGTGCTATCGTGTCTCTGAACAGGAGCAGAGTGTGTGTGTGCGGTGCGGTGGTTAGCGTGAACCGCAATGGAAAGCATATTTACACTGTTTGAATCATTCCCTGTCCCCTATATAGTGCACTACGTGCCATTCACTGTACAGAAAATACTAATTCTGTGGACAAGTGACCGATTTCAGCCGCGGCTTCAGTGTCTATTTTATAGTGTAGGGGGCGGGCGCTTCGGATTCTAGAGAGCATTTGATTGGACAGAAAGTTTGATGAGATGCTGAAGTACGATGTGACATCAAAAAAATAGTTGAGTCGTTTAGGCGGAAGTGACGAACTGCAAGCTTTGAATGCTTATATCTTCTAAATGCGAATTTTGTCACTGTTTTGGCCACTGCCTTATAGATAACTTTAAGACTAACATATTGATACTAACACCCAAAAAACTTTAATTTTGATTTCATGGGGACTTTAAGAATTAAGTTTATAATTCATGTGTATGTATTTAAGTTTCTAATTTTTCAAAACAATATTAATTTATTTAAAGTGTATACATTTTATTAAAATATTATTGTTATTAAATATTAAAATGTCTAACTTTTGTATAAATTCTACTTTTAATTCTTGTGTAATTGTGCATGCAGGTTTTTATTCCCTAATTGATACACTACATGGACTATTTCTACTTTCAAAAATATTAGTAAATGTATAAAATAGATTTTAAATGTTTTCTAACTCTTATCCTACTTTCACTTGTTATGACAATAAGAGACAACATGCAGTATTTGTACATTTTAAAATTAATTTCTCACACTGCAAAACTATTTATGCACTTCCAAGAATGTCTAAAAGCTCGTTTAAAAATTGTGAGAAAAAAAATAGATGTTGGTAATGGTATGTTCTAGTGTGCATATGTGTTCACTGTATGTTTGAACGTGTGTATTTCATCTGTGTAGGATCCTTAAATCCGTGACGGTTGCCTGCTGTACGGTGCTTACTCTCTGCTCTCTTAACAATCTGCTCAGCGAGGTGTGACCAGATATTGTGCATCTGAATCCTACACTAGACTACTGATGCAGCGGGAGAGGGGAGGAGAGAGGAAGAGGAAGCGAGAGAGGGAAGGGAGAGAGAGTGTGCGACCAAAAACGATTTCTCTCCCACACGCACAGAGAGACAGATCTCCCTCTCCTGCAGTGGAGTGCTGGTGGCTCTTCTGGATTCTCTGTTTGCTGTCTTCCACTGGGAGAAAGGTAAGTTTCTTCTTCTGTCCTTCATCTCTCCAGAAATGTTTAATTGTAGAAGCTACAGCCTCACTGCAGATGCTTGAATCTCCTGATTTAGGTATACTATATATATGTGACAATCTCAGTAAGGTGAGTCAGGTCCATAAGCATTTGTATTTGATTGATACCCACGGCTCGTGCTCTTGCTTGTGCTAAACGGATGGTTGTGTACCTTCTCAGACCTCTTCACACATTCACATATATGCGGTGTGGGAAAAGCTCTGCGTTTCAGACGCATTCTGCTCCTCTGGTAACCATGGCGAAGGCAGCCGGCGTAGCAGCCTGTGCGTTTTGAGATAATCAGGTCATCCGTATGCTTTTAAGAGAAAAGCCCACAAAAACATTAACGTGACGGGTCATTTATCATGTTTTCACAGGCAAGTGTAATTGACTTCTTGTGAGCAACAGCACTGTGCGTGTGCCAAGACAGAAAATGGTGAAAAACATTTGCAACATTTGGAAATTACAGTGAAATTGGCAAAGAATCACAAATGTCAACAGGTTGTTTGGACCACATTGATTAGCATCTTTAAAAACATCTTAAAGAATTTGAGTGATAGACACGTCAGATATCACATTTCGGAGTATGTCGAGTGTGTATACTGATACTGCTAGCAGGGGATTCAATGAAACAACCAGCATTGATGGTTGATGGCTGGGAGCAAACAACTATAATCAGGACATATAATTCATCAATTTCCATGCACATACAGGCTAAACATAAATGGATTGATTCATTCAGGTCTGCAACATGATAACATTCTGTTAATGAACACTGTGGCGACTGACAACCATGAGGACGCAGAGAGCCGTTGATGTGGAAGATGATTGTGTACATGGAGTCAACAGTATTGAGCCCAGTGTTTCGCAGTGTGAGGGAATGGGAGGAGAAACAGTGTGTAAAATAACAACACATTCAACGCTCCATCAAACCGGTTGATTGAGGTGATTTAGGGGGTTCTGTAAAACTGGACGTTGCCCTTGGTTTGATGTTATTGTGTCCAGTTGACTACTGAAAATGTTACAGTTTAATGGGTGCTCAATATGACACCAAAACTACTGATTTTCACACAATTAAGTATTTTTTTATGTGAATCAATAATAATATAGATAAATGTATCTAATAAACCTAGCATACAACTACTGATGGTTGTTGGTGTGGTTTTATTGACATTGCGATGTTTTTCAACCACAATACACATAAAGGTACAAGAACATCTTAAAAATGACTCTAAAACATCTTAATTAGACTTAAATGTCTTAAATCCTGATTTAAGATATTTTACTACTAAAATCCTTTGTAGTCTAGGATTAAGCTTGATTTCTATTTCTGTGTTTTTTGGTGAACCACACTAAATATTCTTTGTTTAGGACTAAGTTGCGTTTGGACCAAGATACGCCAGACCATGGCTGCTTTGGTTCATGGTTGGGTTAATTTGAGGTTAAGGTTAGGCTAATGGCTTTCGCTGTCTCTAAAAACCTTTAGACTGTGTTTAAAGGAAATCTCCTGTGCTTTTTATGGCTGCAGGTCATAAATATCCCCTCCCCCATCTTGTCTATAGGATAAGAACCAGAAAGGCTCGGTGAATAAATCATTTGATTTCATAAAGGCGTGAACCAATGATTCCCACAGCCATTATGCACGTCTAGAGGCCTGTTAAAATAACTGATATCATGATGGGTCGATCCGTCACCACTTAAGAGGGTCCTCAGCGCTAGACCTACTTTAAACACACATATATTTGAGAGAAGGACATTTTGACCTTAACTCTGATCTTACAACCTTCTCTCAGTTCCCTGATGGGTTCATTCAGGTCCTCTCTCATCTGATTAAGTGGAATCACTATTTCGCCTCTCATTGGTTAAGTAATGCGTTGGATCAAAAATTCAGTTTACAAAAGATGGTGATGGCTGTGGTTCTCAACTGGTGGGTCCAGACAGGGTTGTGGACAGCTAGAAAAAACAATGCTGAAAGACACTTGTATATAAAATACAATTAAAGTACATAAAATACAATTGTATATAGGTATGAAAGCAAAATGACTAGTCCTACAAACATTTAAAAGGGAGAGGAAAATCTTTCCATATCAAAAGGTTTGCAGCTTCGGTGAGCATAAAAGTCTTCTTTTAAAAAAACATCTTTCTGACCCCAGACTTTTGAATGGCAGTGTACTCAAAATACACCACTTTTTAATCTCTTTATATAACTTTATATAATGTGTTTGTGTCTGTAAATTTGCTGTTAGCATATGTTTTTCGCAGCAGCTATTGAATGGATCGGTCAGATGCATATTAACTTTTACAGTAACCAATAATCCGTAAATGATCACAAATGTCATGGCTGATTCTTCTCACAAAGTCAAATCTGTTGCACATACAACTGTAGTCTGTTTTTTGACAAATAAAATTAATCTGTCACTTGGTGAAAGAAATTAAGCAGATGCCAACCTGAACAGGCTGCTGAAAGTATAAAACCATATTTCAAAATAGATTTTGTATCGTTGGGCCTCTACTGGATAACCAATCCAAAATCTGGATCTTGAAACGAAACCATTTGAGAACCACTGAATTAGAGTAAAAATGACAATTGTGACAGTTTGGATGATAATTGCAATTGTTATTAGGATGATTATGAGTGTAAGAATTAAGTTTTAATGGGGGGATTGTTACAGACGCTCTATGGTGAAGGATCACTTCCGAAATATAAAAAACTCAACAAGGGAGGGATTCCAGGCGAGGAATAAATGTGTGATGCTAAATCAGGAGTAGCTCTCGAGCACTCGCTTTTTCCCTTTTTCTGCTTGAGTGATTACATCCTGCTCTGGCAGGCCCTTTCTTTGCCATGCACGGTAGAACAAAATGACAATGAAAGAGGGAAGGGAGAGAGAGAGAAATGGATAGAGACAGGGAAAGAAGAAAAGAGGGGGGTCTAATAGGAAAGCTCAGTGCTATACAGTCATTTATGTTTCCTCTTTGGCACCGACTCTGACACATGCACACAGCGTTTGTGATGCAGTTTAACAAGCTCCTGTGGGGTCTGACTTACTGAGGCATTTAGCACAAACAAAACTATTCTTAAAACATTTCAGAAGGTGTGAAAGAAAAACCCAAGGGCTGGGAAAGCAAAGTATCTAGCATCTGATACATTTTCTGAGAAATCTGGCCTGTAGTAATGCGGTCTTTAATAGCGAGGTTGTAGAAGACGGGACTCTATTCGCTCAAAGCAGGTGGTGTGTGGTAATGAGTAAACAGTCTGAGTAGTGATGACGGTAATGACTATGACTCAGCCAGGTTTCAACTGTGCCCCCTGTGAAAAGATTACGCTTGTTAAAAAAAGCTTCCGAAATGGTGAGAGACATCAGAAATGGTTAAAGTATTATGGTGGTATGCAGTTCTGAATTCTGACACTACCATTCTGCTCTGCAATGCATAGTAAGCAAATGTTCTGTATGCACAGAATAGCTGGATATCAAAATGTGCTGTGTACAAGCACAATATATTTTACAGGGTACTGCATCCTATAATTCAGTATGTTGGCCTTGACCTTCCTTTTTCAAAATGTTATGTTTTATTTGATTTATTTGATTCATGTTTTAGTTTAATAATCAGTGCGGCTGAATAATTCATTAATAGCCTTAGAGTCCCTAAAACATGCTAACTGTTGTCAATAATTAGTGAAAAGAATGAGTTTCATTTGATGGTAAGAAGAGGAACCGCCCCATGATGGCTGATGTCTGTTTATATAGTTAGTCTGTGAGCTTTGTTCCTGGCAAGGAAACATAGGTTATATTTAGAATATCATACTACTCGTACTACTACATGATGTATACAGTGAGACAAATGTGACCCCAAAAATCAAGACAAATTTGATTTTGTGTGAATAAAAGATTACAATATAGTGCAAATAAATCTCATTCTCATTACCATAATGCAGAAAAATTATTTTCTTGAGCACCATATCAGCATATTAGAGTGATTTCTGAAGGATCATGCAAAAACTCAAGACTGGAGTAATAGCTGCTGAAAATTCATCACAATAATAAATTATATTTTAAAATGCAGTCAAATAGACAAGCTAGTTAAATTGTAATAATTTTGTAATAATGTTTTACTATATTTTTGATCAAATAAATGCAGCTTTGAAGAGACTTTAAAACATGAAAACATCTTTAGATTGTGGCAGATGTTTTGGATTTTCTTACAAAGACAAATCTGAGCTCCATCAGTCTTTTTTAAACCCATTTGCCCAGAGCCAGTTAGGTGGTTTAATCTAGTAAGCAAACCTCATTAAGCTGTGAGGTCTTTAAAAAGACTCTTGAGGGAGGCCATTTCTGCGATACAGATGGCATTGAGAAACGGAAGAGACACAATGGGGTTACAGAAAGAAATTAAATGAAAGAATTTCAAAATACTTATCCCACTATTTACTGACCAAAAACAACTGATGTTATTCCCAGTTAGAGTTTATTGCAGTTTCGAGAACAAATCAATTGCGTGAGGGGGAGAGAAAGTGAGCGAGAGAGAGAGAGAGCGAGAAAGAGGGACGCGGGGGTGGCGAAGAAAGAAAAAAGAGTCCAAGTCTCACTTCGAGAGAAATTCCATCAAATTCAACTCCTCTCACTGAGGCTACAGGCCATCAGCTTTATACTCCAAAATTAGCCCACAGCTCCACAAAGAAACCGGGCCTCTATACGTCCTACTACACCACCCCCATATATACATACACGGCCACAAAGAGACCTCTAGTCTCCCATTAGTATTCTTCAAGAGCCCTGCTTCTATAATTGCTCTGTAAATTGAGAGTTGAGGCTCCTCTGTGACAGCAGAAAGATGTGAGTTTGGTATAAACTCAAAGGTTTAAACTTAAACAGGTCCTCATACAGGTGTAATGGGAAAAGATCTATAATATAACTTAGTTGAAGTGAACTGACAGGATATCAATGTTTATTGCATCTCTAGGTTATTTGCAGCAGAAGCCTGGTGCATCTGGTGGGCATTCCTCGGAAATTCAGACACCATGTGAGCAGTGGTCCGTGACGACATTAGAGGGGCAGAATGCTTCTTCTGCGTGGGACTCTTGTGGTCTTCTCTCTCTTCAGCTCTGTCAGTGGGTTTTTCAGCGAGTATGGGCCAAAACCGACGACCCAGACCAAGGCAGGCTCCAAAGGATGGGGCATGCCCAACTTTGAAACATTGAAATCTAACTTTCCATTTTTTGGTTTGGGATCACGGCTTTTATTCGGTGACACTAAAGGGTCTGCTACGACAAAGGTGAGCACAACTTTCCCAGAAGCAACCACACAAGACTATACTCTGTCTTCGAAGGACTTGAGCCCAAAATACCAGCCGACCACAACCTCGTTTGAGGAACTTCAAAGCAGCACTGTCCAGATAGGCACCCTGCTGCCTTTAAAATCAGCTAAACTGCCAATAATTAACTTACTCAGGAACAAACCACAAATAGATAGACCAGAACCTCCTAAACTTGATCAAAGCTATGATCTGGATCTCTGGCCCCCCAATAATGGCCAAATCGCAGCGAAAACCCCACAAACGACGATATCTAAACCAGAAACACAAACATACACTGTATCCATGGCTCAGGGTACCAGCACCACGCACACTACAACATTGAGACTGATGACGGAAACCATGACCCCTTACAGTGACCAAACTGTGCCCACAGACACTCCGTCAACAACGTCAGAACTAACGACACAAGCATACACTGTATCCACTGCTCAGAATACCAGCATCATGCAAACTATAGCACTGAGACTGATGACGGAAACCATGAACCCTTACAGTGACCAAACCGTACCCATAGACACTCAGGCAACAACGTCACAACTAACGATACCTTCATTTCAAACCACACATTTTATCACACCAGCAGAACCAGAAGTATCTACCGAACCTTTGACCACTGTCAGCACTGGACAAAACACATTGAGGACAACAAACATGGCCTCGAAACCAGAATGGACACCTTTTAAAACCACTGACAAGGCTCTGGATGGATTTACGTGGGTAGAGCAGACCACAGGCCCATCAGAAGGGGGAAGAGTGCAAAGTGTTGGCCCAGATCCTACTCCCTCCCTGCCAGCAGGAGGTAAGTCAGCCCCTCCCTGTCTTTTCATTTCCAACCCAAGCATATGATCTAAGATAACCAAAAACTGACACAATTTGACCCATCCTTAGCTGGCATGGGTGTATTACATTTGTTCTTTTGGTTATACCTTTATTTAAGGTGAAAATGGGTGTTTAATGAATTGCAGAGCCTTATTGATTACCAGTCAAGGGTTAGCAGTGGAATCAGTGCGGCTGAATAATTGATTAATAGCCTTAGAGTCTCTAAAACATGCTAACTGTTGTCAATAATTAGTGAAAAGAATGAGTTTCATTTGATAGTAAGAAGAGGAACCGCCCCATGATGGCTGATATCTGTTTATGTAGTTAGTCTGTTAGCTTTCTTCCTGGCAAGGAAACATAGGTTATATTTAGAATATCATACTACTCGTATTACTACAGGATGTATACAGTGAGACAAATGTGACCCCAAAAATCAAGACAAATTTGATTTTGTGTGAAAAAAGATTACTATATAGTGCAAATAAATCTCATTCTCATTACCATAATGCAGAAAAAATATTTCATTTACCAAGTAAATTTGTAAAGTATAGATCCTATTAAACATAATAGAAGATTGTTTTACTGAATTTAATTTATGCAGATTTTAATAAAAAAGACAATCATTGTTACAGTAATGAAAATTAGATTTTTATTGTGCATTACAGTAATGACAATTTAAGGAAAAAATGTCTTAACTGTCATGAAAATAATAATGATAATTAAAAAAAAAACTAAATAAATCTACATTGTACAAAAATGTTATATACAATATGTACAGTATGCACATGATAGGTATGGAGTACCTACAGTACGTTACCTGCTACATTTACTGTATACTGCATCCAATAATTCTCCACTTGACCAACTACAAGTACTGTAATATTAGCCGTAATCTTATTCTTGGCTTATGTGCATAAACTGCTTAATATTTTTACAGAAAACTGCTTTAACAATCCAAATGTAGTTATTTACATATTTATGTCTGACCAAACCTAATGTTATGAAGTCAGCAATGACAACAATGTACTGTCATATACTACTGTTTGAAATGTTTGTTGCATATTTTGTAATGTTGTTGCAAAAAAAAAGAGGCATACCATTTTAAAAAAAATTGCAGTAAGCATTATTTCCATTACAAACACTGGCATCATTTAAGGTCAAATTTGGTCCGTATAACCCACTGGAGGTTCACATTTTTGCAAAGGCTTGCAACATTTTAATCCAAGGTCAGCACTGACTATACTTTAGTTGTTAAAAAGAAGATCTAGACCTAAGCTCATGATGCGATAAAGACGAATCAATACAGACCTCCTTGAGGTGATCATACACTAAAACTCTCCAGATATCTGTGAAAATAGTGTGCCAGACACCTAGATAGGGTGTATATGAGGTGACCAAGCATGCTAACCAGTATTGACATGGCTCTGTTTGATATCTAGAGCTAAGGGAGCGGTAAGACAGGCGTGCATGTGTACAGTAAGCACGGGATTTGCACTGGAGAAGCAGCCAGTTGGGCGGTATGTGATCAGTATTCCAATGGCAGAGTCAGCAGAGCCAGTGAATCCTTAGGGACTATGTTTTTCCGCACCGCCTGTTCATGGATGCTGAGCATGCCTCTCAACATTTAGTGTCCTTTTCTCATTTCGCTCTATCCATCCTCTCTCGCAGTAATAGGCCTCTCCTGACGTTTACTGGGCATCTCTCTTTTTTTCCAGCAATAAGTCTCATTTAGCCCTTCAGTCTTATGTTTTCTTTCAACCTCTCCTGGCTCCCAGAGACATGTTTTTCCATGTCCTTCTCTTTTCCTTTCCTTTCGAACTCATAGAATCTCTTTTTAAGATGATGGAGAAAGGAAATGCATAGAAACAGAGATTTTCAGAAAGAGATATGGGGAGTCAGAATATTATCTTTTGTGTTCCACAGAAAAAAGAAACTCATACCGGTCTGGAACGACATGAGGGTGAGTAAATGATGACAAAATTTTAATTTCTGGGTGAACTTTCCCTTTAAGAACAATATATATATATATATATATATATATAGGTGTAGTTCAAACAAAAAGGAAAATTCTGTAATCATTCATGTTCCAAACCTGTATGAGTTTCTTTCCACTGTGGAACATAAAATAAGATATTTTAAAGAACGCTGGTAATCAAATCGTTGCTGGTTCCCATTGACTTCCATTGTATTTTTTTGCAACATACTTCAAAATATATACAGGTGCATCTCAATAAATTAGAATGTCGTGGAAAAGTTCTTTTATTTCAGTAATTCAACTCAAATTGTGAAACTCGTGTATTAAATAAATTCAATGCACACAGACTGAAGTAGTTTAA